TATTACATCACAACTATGAGAAGCATTCAGGCTGCAAGTTTATGAGTAGAATATACAACTGTACAATAACCTAGAAAAATAAATAAAGGTGGATGACATCCTGTTTCATTTACGATGTAGCGTATTGGAGAAGAGAGTGGCATATTCTTTAGTTTGAGTTCCAATATGACAAATAGGTGTCCTATTTGCACATTATTTAATGAAATAGAGTTTGTAAGAATGCGGGGTGCAGAGGTAGTCACCTCTTCTGTAGTATTTTGGTTTGCATGTGGAAATAATGGCAGGTGCTTGTGTGCTCACTTACTTACTAGTATTCATTTATGAGTATGTGTGTGAGAGCAGGCACACCTTATTAGGTATGCTTTTAAAATCGTGGCTCTGATCCTCTGAGAAAGTATTAAGAGTAGGACTGGGTTTCCTATGCCATGCAAACAGAGATAAACACCATTAAGCTCCCAAAAAGTCAGAGAAAAAATATAAAATCATCACAGATCTGGTAATTTTCTAATCACAGGGACTCTTCAAAGAAATATAATCTGAGCTGAAAATTTTCCATCAAATCTGTTTAACTTAAAGAGTTACAGGCACCAGCTTTTCACTGTGGTACATTTTCTTTCAGTGAAACTTTTGTCTCCAAATTAACAGCAACAAATACCCCTTTATTTTCTTTTCCCACTTTAAAAGAAACAAAACAAATCGTTTTCAAGACTGTGTTTTAAAATATCTACTTCAAATCAAAACTCACAAATATTTAAGTCAGTTTCAACCTTTTCACTGCTGACTTTTACTGCAGATTAAGAAATCCAAATGTAAGTTCCTGCACTAGTCAGCATTAATAAAAGTCACATTTTCACAGTTCTGTCAACAAAACACAAAAAGAATCAATGAATTTTACCAAATGAGAATTCAAAGAATTTGTGCATTTAACTACTCCAGTTTGATTCTAAGCTCTCTTTCCTAAATATATGTTAGGTCATGTTTCCCAAATGTATTCAACCATGTGATATGTAGTACCAGCTCATTCATATCAGATGAAGTGTGACTGGAAATAAAGCTGAATCTTTTTAAGAAGACACAGTCCTTTGGTCCATATTTCCAAACCAAAATAGCCAAGTTCATTGTATTTTTGCTACATTTCATTACTGCTCTTCTTCCTTCTAAGTGAAGACTAATGTAAAGACAATCACTAAAGAAGCAGCAATCATAATACCCTATACTAACTAAATTCAGACTTACGGCTACCCACAGGAGAAATACATGACAGATCCATTGTTCTGTATTAGCAGGATATTGTCCCAGTATATGAACACATGCAAACTTTGAAGGCTTTGAATATTTAAGGCAAGACACTAGTGGCTCATCCCAGTGGGAACCACAGAAAAGGGGAACCTGATTAAATTTAATGTCATTGTCACTTTTTTTTCCATTGCTAAGAATTATATAGGTAGCCATAGCTACCACACTGTTCAGACACCATGACCACAATATTCTCCCTCAGAGGTTGGCGTCAAGGGCTGAATTATTCACTCCAAGAATGCGATTCATTACTAGATGTGATTCTTGCAGATTAAAAGATTTGTCAGTACATAAAATACATGTACATATTCTAGCAGCTAATTTTAAAATCACTATTATGCCCTTGCTAACCCCTAGAAGACACCAACTTTTATTAGTATGTTTAAGTTTGGAGCATATTTGCCCCTGCTCTATTGAGAAAGCTCTGAAGTAACTGAGCAGCTTTTTACTGTTTACTGTACAACAAACTATGAAGTTGAAAACTAAGGTAGGAATATGTAGTAGGGTACTTATAGGCATTGCAATTAAAATAAGAATGTTTTTAAACTAGTTTCTTAGAAATGTTTGCCTGCTTGAACTGTCCCTTATCTATTGTTTATTCTGTCAGGTGAAATCTCAACTAAATATTCTGCTTAACTTTGGAAAGCACATAACTCTGTTTCTCCACTGCTGTTTCTGTTGCTAACTCCCATCTTCCCCAGACTTGCCTCACAGTGCTATTCCTAACTTGGATAGACTAATTAGACTCATTTCCATCCCAAATAACTTCTGTGAGCATGGCTCATTTACCACTCACTGAGTTACATGAATAAAGAAATGTCTCTATCTACGAGGATCTGCCCATTGTAAAAAGACTGGTTCCTCTAACGTGTTTAGAGAATAACATTTTCTCCTGTATGTGATACATGTAACCGATTTCATAATTTTTCCTTTTTACTCACAAGGAAAATCGAGTTCTAAAATAAATCTCCAGCTTATGGTGCTGACAAAGTGTAACACCACAGCAATCCTTTCATGTATGTCGATTGCTCTGACTCAAAACCAAAGTTTTGCTGGGCTTAGGGATGCGACAATGCCGAGCATGAGACAGGCCGGACCATTAACATTTATGCAACTCGATCTCAACAGGGAAGCGATGACAGGCAAAGTGGCAGAGCGCCCTATTCTATCCCCCCTAATTGTTTCCAGCAAGTAGTGTATGGCAGGATTATCATGAAGAGCTGGTAGGTGAGGAGAGAACTGCTACACTCAGGGATTTTCTCAGAAGCTTTGAGTGCCTAGATCTCTGTTCAGAGTCTGTAGGAGATAGGCAGGATGCTTTCTGTAAATCATGCCATAAAGCTACACAGGGCCTGCAGAGTCAGAGGCAAAATCTGAGAGTGGGGAGAAGAAACATGGATATGAACACTGAATACTTGTAAGCTGGTCCACTCACAAAAGTTGACTTTAATGAATGAACAAAAGAAATTTCTCTTCTTTTAATGAAACTGTGTTAGTAGCAATTATGTTATGCTAGACAGAAGCAAACATTTGTTATTATTTTCCAGTAGTGATTTTTCTCAAATTAATTAGTCTGTTATGGTTTCCAGAATGATTTCATATCCATTATCCTATTTTGAATTCAAGAAAGGGCTTTCTAAATAATATAGGTAGTAATTTTTGCGCAGTTAATGTTGTAAGTTAGAAAGAGGTAATATAACTATTGTAGCTTCTAAGTTGCCAGAGGCCCTTACTCAAATCAGGTATTTTTTCCTGCAAGCAGTTCTTTGAAATTAAGGTGCCTACTCACAGCAGACAACTGAGCTGAACTAACTTATCACAAATAGTGTGGCCAGCAGGATTAAGGAAAGAATCATCCCCCTATATTCAGCACTGGTGAGGCCACACCTCAAATCCTGTGTTCAGTTTTGGGGTCCTCAATACAAGAAAGACATTGAGGTGCTGGAGCATGTCCAGAGAAGGGCAACAAAGCCGGTGAAGGGTCTGGAGTAACTCCTATGAAGAGCAACTGAGGTAGCTGGAGTTGTTTAACCTGGAGAAAAGGATGCTCGGGGGGACCTTATTGCTACCTCAAAGGAGGCTGTAGCGAGGTGGATGTTGGTCTCTCGTTCCAAGTAACAAGCAATAGGATAAGAGGAAATGGCCTCAAGCTGTACCAGGAGAGGCTAAGATTGGATGTTAGTGAGAAATTCCTAATGGAAAGGGCTATCAAGTATTGGAACAGGCTGCCAAGGGAAGTGGTTGAGTCACCACCCCTGGAGGTATTTAAAAGCCGTGTGGACATGGTTTAGTGATGGACATGGCAGTACTGGGTTAATGGTTGGACTTAATGATCTTAGAAGTCTTTTCCAACCTAAATCATTCTATGATTCTAATAATAAGGGAGTCAGAGCACCAGATCCTCCATTTAGTAAGACCACAAGCACCACACAACTTTGGTCTCTTCAGAAACTGGAGCCAGTGTGGCTTCCAATAGCCATGCCATTTTGTTAGAGGTAACCCAAATCCCAGCAGAAAAGCCTGAATTTGTGCCAGCGTGCAGGGGTAGCACTGTCAACAGCTGCTGACCTTCTGGAGGGGTGTGCAATCCTGCTGAAGCATAGTCTGCCCCATTCTGGTGCTCTGGCTGGCCCACCACGAGGGATGGAGTGTGCCCTGCCCCAGGTACTGCTGGTGGTAGGAGGGCTATTTGCCCACCATCTCCCTTTCCCCCCATGCAGAGGGATGCTTGCACTCTGGCAGCCTCTTTCAAATACAGAAGCAAGATAGTCAGAAAGCAAATATTGCCCCAATGTAGTTTAAAGTCAATATTTTGAGCTGCTGCTTGGCCTATTTGATGACAGCCAGAAGTTGGAGGTCACCTACCTGTTGATGACGGCACAGGAGCACAGGAGGCAGAGTCAGCAATCTTCCTTGCCATTGTTCAGCTAGGTTTGTTTGCAGATTGAGTGTGTCAATCACAAAATTCATCCCATTCTCTTCACTGAGAGCTTTCTGCTTGTACAGAAAAGAGGGACATGGAAAATGCCCAATTCTTCTTACAGACAATTCCTATTTTCAGTCCTCCTGAAAAGCATTTTGCCTCTCTTGGAAATTTGAGGGAAATAACAGATATAAATCCGGAGGCAGCCTGAACGGGATCAGGTTTTGGTGCTAAACACTAAAGCTTCTGTCCACAGTATCAGCGAGAGGGGGATCGCAGGGGCCATCGGTGTAAAGCGTGCAGAAAACTGGAGCGATTGCTCCGCTCCGCAAAGGAAGCCTGGCATCTAGTGGACAGTTAGCTGTTGCATCATTTCTGCCTTTTTGGTTAGTAGAACTGGAGGCTACCTACACACCACCCCAAAACTGGTCCTAACTCTAAGTTCGTCTGCCTGACTGCAAGGTGTAGTCGGCTCTAGTCCTAATTATGGGAAAAAATTGATCCCAACTCTTAAATCTGACCAGCTGCCACTTAAAAAGTTGAGCTCTATTATAAATAGTTCCGTCGTGGAACTTGCTTTTGTGCCATAAATCCTATTTTCTGTGGGTTATTTTCCCCACAATGAATGTAAACGTGGAAAAAACGATGTTTTCCATGAAATCATGCTGAAAACCTGCTCAGAAAGAGAGACACGAGATACAATATCTGTAAAAGGTATTACAGGAAGGACTCACATTATTGTCATTTAATCTCAAATATATTTTTATTAGTTGTTCCAACAAAATGTGACCCCCCCACATTTCTTCTTTCCTTTTATTCTGAAAGTAATTTGAACTCACATCACTCTCTTTGTGTATCAAGTCAACGTTTATATGCATTATGTTCCTTTCCTATTCTTATTCAGAGTTTATTTGAGGCCAAGAAGCAAGTATGTGTCATGCTGCATAGCTACTTTGAATAGATTTGTTCCTTTCACTTAGAGCAGTATTTTTCTGTACTTACTCATGTTAAGATGTATCTTACTTTGCACTCAGTCCTATTAAAAATAATAGGATTAATTTTAAAATAAGATAATATGCAACATTTAGAGAAGGAGAGAATATGATCCATGTAATAATTAAATTATATTTGTTAATTAAGTAAAATTGTATTACATTGGGGGGTTTACAGTACTTTAGAAAAAAACTAAAATGAATAGTTTTCTCATAACTAATTCAGGAAGACAGTTGATGGACCTAAGTCTCAAAACGCCTTAGCAAGAAAATAGGTGCGTCTTTAAGTTGATTTTGAGTGCTTTACAAATGGCAGTGGCAGTTTTCTCCCCCTGGTGGCCAGGAGAATGAGCTTCCTTCGGTTCCTGTATCAGCAGCATCCCTGTTCCTGGTTTTCCTCCTTAGGAGCTTGACGACCAGAGCTCTGTGGAAAATGAAAATTGCTAGTGGGCCAGCATTTAGCACAAAACTTGTTCTTTGCTATCGATAGCAATGGCAAGAGATTTCTCCAGAGTGGCACTCAAGACATTAATGGAGCAGTAATTAAATTCTTGACATGCAGATGATCGAGCCTGCCTCGCTCTGGTAAAAAATTTTGTCATAATTAGATTCTTTAACCAAGTAGCCACAGAAAAGAGAAAGGCCTAAGAATATGTATTTTATTATTCTTGATCTTTTTAAAGGAGAGAATGTACTGGAAAATAAATTTTTTTTGGTAAAGCTAAGCCAGGAATTGTAAAAATGGTAATGACTTCATGAGTATTTGAAAACTAAGCTGTCAGCATATCAGAAAGTTAAAAAATAAGGCATCACAGTACTTGCTAGGGAATACTTAGCAAATAGCTTATGCCATGCAGGCAACATAATGTGTTGATTTTTCTTCAATGTGTCATGCCAATTAAGAGGCACATTTGTTTTCATCCCAAAAGGTTTATTCTGTTTTAATTGAAAATCTCAACAAAGCCTTAAAATGTGAAGCATGTCTTCAGAAACCCTTATTGACCATCCCCTTTGCCCTGCCCTTCAAAAAGAGATGAATATAAAGAGTTAGAAATTGGAAAAGCTCTGGAGATTAATTTTGTGTGGTGCCAAGCTCCTTTTGTGCTGATTCTCACAGTGAAAAAAGGACCTTTTTTAGGGTCCAGGAACAAACCGGGGAGAACACTGTGTTTATATGGGGTCATGGCCCTCAGTTGATACCTGTTATATGGACTGCTGTGTCAGCTTGATTTCCCACCTCTGGGCCCAGAGATGCATTAGCTGGATGATCTCCATGCTACAGCTCTTGGCTTTGCTAGGATCGCGGGAGGAGAAGGAAAATTGCTGGTTTCCATGCTGGCCATGGTTTTCTGTCTGTCCATCTTTTGAAATTCATCACAAAGTGGGGTTGGCAGCTGGGATAAGAGAACTCCTGCCAGCCCCAGCTCTGAGCAGACCAGTGAATATCTGACCTCAGCAACAGCTGCAGTTATGGTGAGGGGCTGTGAACTCTGCCTGCACAGCTACGGCCTGTTTTTCCTTCATCCCTGCACTACAGAGGCAAAGACCGTGGCAGGAAGAAGCAACAGGTACCTAGAGGCAACAGTATCTATTTCTAGAAGCTGTAGTTTGGCTCATCATAGCTTGAGAACCAGTCCTTTATTCAACATTTACCTCTTCCCTCTTTTTGTTCTTACCTTAAAAGCAGGATCTGGGAATTTGGGAGTTTGTTGTACCCCTAATAGTCTAATTACAACCCACACTGTAAATAGGCTCAAATATCATTTTTTCTCATTTGACATGTTGACCAAAGAAAACTGTAATGTATTAAAATCAACTGCATGGGCTTGTTCATGTGATATTTTTGTCTTACATGGTAAAAATTAATTAAAAGGCCAAATTAAGGACAGCTTCTATGAGGTCTGCATGACTTTTTGAGTTGTTCCCTGTTGTTCTTATTAAAATTGGACACAAGAAGACAGATTAAGGAGCCAGGAAAAGCATACTAAGGAAAGAGAGAAAGAGAGAGAAATAGTAATTTTTAAAATGTAGTTGGAAGAGGCTGCAGGAGATCATCCAGTTCTTTCTCTGCCTAAAGGCAGGATCAACTATAACTATGTCAGCTTTGACAGATGTTTGCCTAACTGGTTCTTAAAAGTTTCTAATGATGACGAATTCATAACCTCACCAGATGTTATACTCTCATGTTTAATTACCTCTATGGTTTGAAAGAATTTCTTAAGCCTAATGCAATCAGTACTTGTTCTGCTTTTCATGAAAATAGGGGACAGCTGTTTCTCTACCTCCTTGCTGTATCTTTACGTGTACTTGAAGACATGTTCTCCTTGGTATTCTTTATTTTCAACACGTCCCATTTATTTAACCTTCCCTTAAAGGCCATGATCTAGAGAAATGAGAATAAACAGAGGTCTTCTCTGAACTATCTCCAACCACAATAAAACAAGCTGTATGTTTCAAACTGTGTCCCAAACTGGACACAGCTTTCTTGCCTTACTGAGCACTGGATATATAACAGTTCTACTCAAAGAAAAGAGCAGTCTTTGGGATGTGCTGTTTTAATACAAACATACATGGCATTTCCATTCTTCATAGTGGCATGTCCTGTTATCACTCCCAGTTCTGCTTCTGCAGAAGAATGTTTATGTAGGTTATTTTTGTCTGTCCTGTGTGGAATGGTGATTTTTGCTGTCGCATAACATGTAATTTTTTTCAAACAAGTTCTTCAATTTGCAAGATCACTTTGAATTTTAATCTTAATTTCAACGCAGAACCTCCAGCATGCTTACAGTCCTGTCTTTGTTTGGTGTCATCTTCAAGCTGGGCACGTGCAGTTTGCATCCCCTGACCTGGGTGGTAAATACAAGGATTGGACAAAAACCATGGGAACACATCCCATATGATAGATTCTTCTATGCTGACCACTCACTAATGGGCCATTAATCAGTTCTAGTGTTTAATCTGGATTGTGTTTCTGCCACAGGATACCCCAAGTTATTGATATGTCATAAGGACACACTGCAAAAAGCCTTACTGAAGTCAATATATATAATGTTTGCTATTTTCTCCATGTTCATAAACCTTCCTGCTCTGCTTCAAAATAAGTTAAATTGGTTTGACATTGGATTTTCACAAATCCATGCTGGTTGTTTCTCCCTAGGTGTGTGTGGGGGGTGAGCGTGTGGGTGTGCATTAAGTGATTACAACTTATTGGCATTTTACTGGCATAATAAATATCTCTCATTGAAAGTGTTTCAAGCTTCAGCTGGTTGTGTCATGGCCCTGAAAATTATCTTTCACCTTAGAGTAAATACAAAATCTCACTACACAGATAGGATGGAAAATTGTCATCCTTCTCTCTCAAAAGTAGCTGGGGAAAAAATAGGTGGATCAGATTTTATAAATACAATTTGAAAAAAAAAAGTGTAAAAATATTTGGTGCAACTATGTATCTGTTCATGTGTATTTATTTATGCAAGTCCCTGTGACATTGCTTTGGTGAATTACGGGACAGTTATACGAATGCTGGGCCGAAGAACTTTAATTTCCTGTTCATTTTTACTCTGTCAGTCTATGTACTACACAATGTCAAAACTGCAATGGTATAGGAGTTACGTTACAGCAGTGTAGCCTGAGAGCAGTAACCCAAAAAGTAAGCATGCAAACACACACTGGAAATGTACTTGTTTCACTTGGCTCAGGACAAAAACACCTTTCGGCTTGCACTTTCAAGGTTATGTTCCTTGCAAAATGGTTCCCTGAAACAAAAAAGTGATTTATCTGTGATTTGCAAATAATATGGGAGGTCTCCGCTGCAGGTGGCCAATCCAAGATCCTTGAGAATGATACATGTCCATACACTTCTGACCCTGAGATCTCTTCAAAGTCCTGAGGACTGGCAAACTGATGTCTACAGGATCGCTATCACCTTTGAAACCCAGTTCTTACACTGACTAGGTTGTTCTAAAGCTTGTTATGGTTATTTCTTCAGTCATCAGCTATTGACCCTGAGCTGTTATTGATAGCCTTACCATACTAGTAGTTCTCCTTGTAATGACACACTCTGAATATGGTATAAATGGAAATGAAAAGGTATTTATAAACAATTGAAACTGTCTTACTGAAGAACTGTATGTGACTAATAAATTCTGGGCATTTTTTACAATGTAACTTAGCAAATGAAGATGGTGTGTAGAAAAGTGTCTTCAAAAAGCCTTTGTAAGGGTCTCATTCTGGCTCCATTCTCGGCTTTACAGAGACCAACTTAAGCTCACTGCAGTAGCATCCTGAGGTCATCTGGTGGAATCAAACCCTAAGCACATGCCCAGGGTTTTTTTTTAAGATATGTCAAGTTTTTAGCAACTCAACAATTTAGAAACCATTATAGCAGGTTTTGTCAGCCATTGATCTGTATTAAAAGAAACATCCCCAGTTATTACAGCAGTTTTTTTCATGCAAAGGTCAATAATATAAAACATGTAAAATAATATTTTAACATTAGAATAATGTTCAAAATGTAATCCAATGTGCTTCCTGAACTGTGCTGTTATAAATTAATGGCAAAGCTCACTATTATACCATGTATTTCATTAGTTAATAACACCAGCAACCACTTATAGGAACAAATACGTATGTCCCTTCTTATTGTTCCAAAGTTCATATATTTAGCAGTTCAGGCAAAACTGATTTTGATGAAGCTGCATTTTTTCAAATGTATGTAACTCCTTAAGTATTAAAGAAACAGCAACTACTGCTCCCCTTTCTAGCATTTTCTGACCCAATGTAGATTCTAAGTGCTCACAAGATGTAAGATGCCACTAAATCAGGGGTGTTGAGGGAAGACAAACTGGGCAGTAGATGACCATCCCTGACTATGCACTATCATGAATGTTTTAAATAATCTAAAGATAGTCTGCAGTTCTGTGGGGAACTCTGCATGAATGATCTGTTGTGGGAGTAGAATGAAATGCGAAACACCCTGATTGTTTCAATGAAACTGGTGTTCCAGCCTTAGGCAGATTTATCTACAATTCAGCAGGTGCTTGTAAGGAACAAATCTGGGCAGAAGAAAGTCCTCTGGTATAAACCATAGATCTAAATGTGTTTCATGAAACTAAGCTTTCCACCAGGCAACCTACAAGGCTAGTTTGGACTAGCCTGCTTTCATTACTCGGAACAACAAGAGTAAATGTCAACTGTAATATCATAAGGTCCACACCTTTAAGAGATATATTAAATGGAAGTGGTACCAATCTTTGTAGCTGCCACTCACAATAAAATTGCTACTCCAACAGGTATGGAAAGCAGTAAAGTTTTGGGGTTTTTTTGTTTCCCCTGGACTGAATCCTTTCCTTAAGTAATAACGCCAGTGCTGGTACTGCACATGGTTTAATTATTTTAAGGTCATGAATGGACTCTGAGGAAATATAAAGCACTTTATAAGTAAGATTCACATTTTTCTAAGGAAACAATTTATAAATGTTTCAATATTCTGATAAAATATATGCTCCCAAAATTTTATTTCATAAATAGAAAGTATTTCTTGGAAATAGCTAGTGGATTTCTACTCTTTGTGCAATCAGCAATAGATTGGGCATTATTCCTGTCGATCAGTACATTTAGCATGTGTCAGGAGTGATTCCTGCTCTGTGTAGGAAAGCTCATAAGAATCATACTACGTATGAAGAGCAAGATACAGAAACAATGAGGAAAGCCTATCTAAGTATGCAGGAGCATTAGTAGGTGACACCTGGTGAAAGAATAACTCCCGTGGTGTAGGCATGAGCTTGCTCTGTGTCCCTTCCAAGACCTTGCATACAAAGGCCAGAGGTGATGCCCAGGTGAGCTCGACAATGCAAATACTCGAGTTTGCACTCCTAACCTCAGTACATTACCATGATCCTGCAAGGTAATGTGCTAAGGCAAATTCTCAGCACCTAAACAGTCCAGAAGTGTCCTTTGGGCTTTTCCCCAAGAGTCAACGTGGCATCTTCAAATGACTGTAATTTACTACCATGTTGGATTTTTTTTTACTACTGTTACATTTACTTCTGTTTGGCTGCTGCAACATTTAGCCCAGTTTCCTAAGGAGGACAAACTTCCAATCAGGCAAATTCTCCTCTTGATCCCCACAAAAACTTCTGAAATGAACAGCCACATTTCAACCAAATTTGAAAGACAAACAGAAGTCCTTACAATAAGCAGAAGTTCCTCGGAGTGACACTCAGAGACAACAAGGCAAAACTTTTCTGTTCCACAATTGGTTGCTCAGAGAATACAGTACATGCTATGGGGAGGCAGCTTTCTTTGCTGGGTGAGGCTGTCATTCAGGACTGAAACAGGGAAAGAAAGGAGGAGCTGAAGGACAAAGACCACAATTAATAGGAAACCAAGCTTCATTAACTCTACTGATACCAAATAGAGTTGTTTACCTTCTCACTGAGCAATTACAAAGTCAAACAATGGCATACAAAGGATTAGGACTGCTTAAAATGCACGTGAGCTTTTGCAGGAGGAGGACAGTGCAGCTTGGAAGGGTGGCAAGTTGTGCATATCAGGCTTTAGCATGCTGCCATTTCAATCTCTGGAGAAATAACCACCATCTTTACTGGTGCAGAATCCATACAATCTATGATTAAGTACTGAACCATATTGCATATTTCTTCTGGAGCATCATGCTGGAAAACAATTAACCTCAAAATACTAAAAACCCCAGCAGAAGCATCATGGATGCATAGTTTCTAAAAAGCCACAGCCATTTGAGAGCTAATCAGATTTTTGAATATGTTTAATGTCATTTCTGAGAGAGCATTTACCCAAATTAACGAAATGGGTAACGAGCACAGTGTCTGAAATTCTACACTCAAGTTTCTCTTGTTTCTTAATCAAATACATAGAAACACAAAAACAGCAACTAACTACTTCAGAGATGTAGAGAAAAGTAAGCTGTGGATTTTTTTACAAGTCAGACAAAAGAATATATATTTTCCATAAGACTAATCTTGAAATAATAGTACTTGAAATAAATGATTTCAAATAACCTCAGATAAAAAACCAAAAGATACTGGAATAACACTTTCCTAGAAAACATGAACCGCAGTAGACACTTTTAAAGTACCCTCATACACACAAAAAAATGAGACTCACATAAAGTAATACCAACACAAAATCAGTCATACTACAAAACCAGTCTCATCCTCTTGTTCTTCCCCAAAGGGTGTTCTTTTTTATTGTCTGCTGAATAGAAGAAGCTGACAATTCAATGGACAATAAAAAGGAATACCCCCTTGGGTAGAGGAGAAAAGAGGCAGCTCTGGGACAGTTCCGACCTGAGGCTTTACTCTGCAATCACTGTGCAGCTCACACAACAAAATAGTTTGGATATTTATATATTTATATTTATATATTTAGGTATGGTGAGGTTGCTACAGCAACGTCATGTACTATGTACAACTCTCATTGCTTTTTCGGCTGCAGCTGAACTAGTTTCAACACTTAAATAGATGATTATTTAATAATAATAATAATAATAATAATAATAATGATAGAGTACAAACCCATCTGCATTTGACAACTTGTTGCTCAGAATTTATAACAAAGCAGAAAGACCTTCCCCCTATGCTGTACCATATCTGCGTACAAGCCCCAACGGATGTGCTGTAAGGACCTACATATGTCACAGATTCTGTTGCTTTTATACCACAGTACAACTTCAGTGTGTTCTCATGTTGTAGTCAATGGAGACCTTCCCCTAATGCAAAGCAGCACCCTCGCGAATATTTCTTGAAGTGACAGGGCAAAAAAAGGGCATGAATCAAAGGCAAAAGAACAATAGCTGAAACAATAGAGACTTGTTAGGAATGGCTGCAGACACATTTTGCTTTGGCTCATTGTTTACTAATGAACAAAAATTTTACTACCTCGTCAATTTGTAAAACGTAACATAAAATGTAGCTTTTCTTATCTTAACATATTTTAACTCCTATTATCAAACTCTTAAAATTGAATTTACCTCTACTAAAGATAATGCAAATTCAATTTGCATCAATTTCTAAATGAGTAATTTCAAACTGATGTTGTTTGCTTTTGCTTCTCTCTATGTTTGGGCCATTATTATAAATCACTGCTCTATAAACCTCCACAATGATCTCAGAAGTCCTACATACCATCTGGTATGCTCCTCTACCACTGGCATAGCAACAGAACTGTAGCTTAAGTAAAAACAAGTCAAATTTAATAGCTCTAATGTTGCGTGTAAAAGCAATTCTGTATATAAATAGATTATTTTCAAATTTCTGCTACCATTCTTCCAAAAAGTCTCACAAATCAGCCTTCAAAACAATAGCAGACAGCAATCTGTCAGTTCTTCAGTAAGCAGGAGCTTACTAGTGTCATTAGCACCTCAAAAAAGACATTTTGCCTGCCTTGCTTGCCAGGAATTCACGATAGCTTGTTAATAATACTAATATCTACCAATTACTCAGTCTTTTCAAGTTCAAAGCACTGTAAAAATATAAAATAATCTGCTGCAGCATTTTCTAAGTTCATGCTAATTCCTGTTAACACAATGCTTTTAGAATCTGACATGTTCTGGAGTGTTGAATTAAACCCCTTTCATTTTCACTGTTTGCTTATCTTGAACTTGCTTTCTCTCCCAAGTTCTGGAATTCATGTCTCTTTTTCTTATTATTTTTTCCCCCAACACTGGTGTTCCTGACTGCTTTGTTGAGTGACAAATACAGATGGACCTGAGCATAGGTCCCCTTTACACTTCCTTTCTCCAGTTTCATCGTTCTTTTCTCAGCTTTTCTAATATTACTCTTTCAGCTTTGCAGCTTCACAGCCCATATTTCTCTACATTTATCATCGCTGTTTTGACCGTGTCCTCGAAGTCAGTCAAACAGTGTGACTTGAATCTATCACATGTATAGTATGTTATCCTCTCCTCATGGGAAAAAGCGGTCTAAGTCTTGTCAGTGTTCTTAAACTTCAGATGCTTATATGTGTTGCTATAAGTTTGTGTGAGACAAGCACTTCAGAGGTGCTAACAGCAGCAGAAATGCTTTGCAAAGAAGCTCACCAGTTTTGCGATGGTTATCAGGTCCCAGGAAGGAGCTAAATCCAAGTGATAAAGTGAAAAGGTCCTCACGGTCCTTCGTTTTTCCTCCTGTAGCCCTCACCCAGCTTAACTTCTGATGTACTTACAAGGTGTTTTATTCCCATTTTGGGGGTAACTTGCCTTTTAAGTGCGTGGAATTTCAAGTTGGTAGTTATCTGAGCGTGTTCTGACAGGCAAAACCCTCTCCCATTTTCAGACTGACCTGCTGTTTACATGAAAGTCCTTTTCATATGTTAACAGTGAGTCTAGCCCGGGACTCCCTCCTCAGAGGATAGCCTCAGGGGATAACCTCAGATGATCTATGAACTGCACTGTGCTGACACCAGCCAGTCTACAAATCCACCTGTGCCTTGGCATCCACCTCTGCAGGGGAAATCTGTCTTCTCTTCCATTTACACATTCAGCTGCCACTTATTTGAATTTGGGATTAGCACAATGCAGATACCAACAACTTTCAACTCATCTGTTATGCAAATATTAGATTAATATTTGATTTGGAGACAAGGCATCTTCACTGCAGATTGATTTGTCAAATGGTTCCTCCAAATCATTTTGCTCTTAAAAGCTTACCTACCTGCTCAGTACTGAGTTTTATTTTCTTGCTCTAGCGGAAACCCACATGACAAACTCCTGAGGCTGGAGTAAGAGGAGACACTACTTAAGTGCACGAGATGGAAAAGCCTTTTGAAACCCATACCACTTCTCCCTGCCACTTGCCTGGCGGAAAGGGCAGGAGAATTAGAATCAGGCACAAATGAGTCGAACCAGTTGCTTGTGCTGGGGGAATGCCACCACTGAGAACCACGACGTGTTGTAAAATGCACAGTGACAAAGAGAGCATCAATCAATGCCCATGAGAGTCACCTTCAGAAAAACAAACTTCATCATCATGATTTAGTAGGAGGTAGCCAAGACCTAGATTTGCTAACTGCTGGGGATAGAAACTGATTTGGATACAAAGAAATTTCCAGGTAGAGGTAACTATGTATAGGTGGCATTTCTGGACACACCTGGATCACCTCCAGCTTTCAGGATGAAGCCAGTTTGTCAGACAACACAGTGAGCCCTGCCTCCATGCAGCCTGGAAATAAGTCATGCTGACAGTGGCACACAACCTCGTACAGCACAGCCGCGATCCTCGCTCGGCAGTTTGGGTTGCTGAAATTTAAAAGGCAAATAACATCAACGGTAAAGGAGCTGTCTGGGAGCCCAGCACTACAGGGCTGGCATGAGGGATGAGGAAGTGGCTTTTTTGGTTGTTTTGCTGTTAGCCAGTACAATCACTGCAGAATGTTTTTAATAGCTGCCGCACCTGGCTCCCTGGTATAATACTTATTCATATCTGCCAGGCCTTGAAACACTTTATTTCACAGGTGGCTAGTATTTGAAGGGCACATGTGTAAAGGTAGTTTCAGTACCTCTCTGCCACTTCAATATTTAAGGCCACCATTTCAGCCCTGGCAAGGTTCTCTGTGCAATGCCAGGTAACCTCAGGGCCTTTTGCCTGTGCGGACCTGGCTGCACGTGCCCTGGCATCACACGGCATGAACTGAAATCCAGACTGGCAGCAGGTCCTGACACAAGACTTCAAAAGGACATGTTTTTCCATCCGTCCTGCCAAACGCAAACAATCCTGGAAGCATGTTGAGGAACCTAAGCTGAAAAATGCCTTAAATCCACACCTGGGGGACAGGATGTCATCCAGAGGGATCTGGACAAGCTGAAGAAGTGGGTCCATGGGACTCTCATGAGGTTCAACAAGACCAACTGCAATGTGCTTCACCAGGGTTGGGGGCAACCCCTGATATCAATACAGGTCGGGGGATGAACAGAATGAGAGCAGCCCTGCTGAGAAGGACTTGGGGGTGCTGGTGGATGAGAAGCTGGACATGACCCAGCAATGTGCACTTGCAGCCCAGAAAGCCAATTAATTGTGTCTTGGGCTGTATCAAAAGCAGCATAGCCAGCAGGTCAAGGGAGGGGATTCTCTCCCTCTACTCTGCTCTGGTGAGATCCCACCTGGAGTGCTCGAACCAGCTCTGGGGTCCTCAGCACAGGAGAGACATTGACCTGTTGGAACAAGTCCAGAGGAGGGACACCAAGATTACTAGAGGGATGGAAGACCTCTCCTGTGAAAAAGGGCTGAGACAATTGGGTTTGTTCAGCCAGGAGAAGAGAAGGCTTCAGGGTGACCTAATTGCAGCCTTCCAGTAGCTGAAGGGAGCTACAAGAAAATGGAGAGGGACTATACAAGGGTGTGTAGTGACAAGAGGGAACAGCTTCAAACTGAAAGAGAGTAGTTTTAAATTAGATGTTAGGAAACAAGTAAAGATACAAGGACTCCCTGAAGCAACAACTCAGCCTCGGGCATATTGATCACCATAACTGGTCCACTCTGGCCTCTAATCGGGAGGCCTGGAGACAGACCATTTATAACGCTGCTGATGCTTTTGAGAAAGCACGCAGGATCACTCTTGAGGAGAAAAGACAACGCAGAAAGAATCGAACCTTGCAGAATATACCATCTAAGGAGTCTTTCTGCTGTGTCTTTTGCAACCGGACCTGCCTTTCTCGTATTGGCCTTTTTAGCCACCAACGCGCTTGCATGAAAAATGGGTAGAGCCCTTCCCAAATCTTCGTTCGCGAAGCCTAGCCATGATGAGGAAACAAGTCTTTACTGTCAGGCTGGTGACACACTGGGACAGGTTGCCCTGAGAAGCTGTGGATGCCCCATCCTTCCAAATGTCCAAGGCCAGGTTGGACGGGGCTCTGAGCAACTTGGTCTAGTGGAAGGTGTCCCTGCCCACGGCAGAGGGGTTGGAAATACATGATCTTTTAAGGTCCCTTCCAACCCCAAACATCTTATTATTCTATGATCCTGTGTTTTGGGGCTCCAGATCTTTTATAATGGTTTATTCACGGTACCCCACCCAAAGCTTTGGATTTCGGAGTGGGGTGGCAGGGTGTGGATACACAACGGTGTGCTATCAAAAGGGCACTCGTGCGGTGCCAGGGGCTGGAAGGTGTAAATCCGCTTTGCCACGGTCGCAGCGGCGAAGCCCCATGAAGCTGCGGGAAGCCCAAATCCCCCAAAAGGCACCGGCTCCCGCTCCCGCTCCCGGCCCCACCCCTGAGGGCAGCGGCTCGCGCCATTCTCGACGTAAAACGCGCGAAGGCGCACGCGCCCGCGCGAGGCGATTGCCGGGGCCGGAGCGGTGACGTCATCCCCACGCGCCGGCATCCCCGCGCCCCGCTCCTGAGGGGAGCGCGCAGTGTTCCAGCTGCACACCCCGGCCCGCGCTGCCGCCGTTCCCGCACTCCCGCCCTTCCCACACTCCCGCCGGCCGGGAAACACCTACCCCGGGGACGGCCGGGCCTCCGCTGTCGCTCCCTCCCAGCGCCCCGCCGGGTCGGCCGCGGTGCGCGACAGGTGCGTGTGGGGCCCGCCGGCGGTGCCCGGGCTCCGTGAGGGGAGGAGGGAAGGCGGTGGGTGGGTGGGCAGATGACTCCCCGCTGCCTGACAGCGCCGCTGGCCTCGCGTTTCGGTGGGAGCGCCGGGGTCCTCCGGCCGGTCCCCTCGCCGGCTTTTTCCTGATGCGTGTCTGATGGGCCCTGCCGGCTCTCTGTCTCTCCCTGGGTTTTCCCACAGAGGCTGCCCGGCCGAGCCCGTCTCCTCTCCTGCGGACAGGAGGGGTAGGTTAAGAATATGAGTCTCTACAATCTGGACCGATTTCGCTTTGAGAAGAGGAAAGACGCGGATCGGGAGTCGCTGTCCCCTCCAGCAGCCCCAGGGGAGGCATCTGATGCTGCTGTCGCGGGTGGTGCCGCTGGTGGGGAGGAGGATGAAGCTACAGATGACAGCAACAGGCCAGATACCCCAGCTTCGGATGCGACAGAGATAACTGGTGAGTTAGGTGTTTTGCATGCAGCATCAGAGCAGTGTCAGCACTTAATTCCTAGAAATAAAATAATTGTCTTTTGGTTTGGTGTTTGTCTTTTTTTTTTCTTTTCTCTTTGTTTGTTTTACAGGTGTGTTTTTCTGTGCACAACAATTTCCACGAAAGTGTATTCATTTGTAACAATGTTTGCTCTAATTGAACCTGTGCATTTACTGACAAGCATTCTGAAATTACTTTTTTTTTAAGTGAGTAAATAACATTCAAATTAAATGTTGAAGTTATGTTGTGTTTTCCTATATATTAACTTTTTTTACTGGTACTTATTTTACACTGAAATCTCAGGGTTTTCAAAGAAAAAAAGTAGCTTTTAGTTGTCTGATAGGTGCAACACTGTAGACTTAACTTTTTCAGTAGAGCCCTTGGCTAAGGTGATGTGGAATATCACAGAAGAAGCTGAAAATACAAAAAACCAGGTTTTTTTTCAACTGGGCCTAGTTTTGCAAAGGACTGAGAAAGCTGCTACTGATTCTCACAAGCTGAGTGTGTTAATAGTTTCATAGTGTGTTTGTCCTCTTTTTGGACAGAAGCTGGGGGTCTTCATGGAAGTGTGAAAAACTTGCTTATTCAGTTTATTTGTTTCCTTTGGCTTGTACAGTAGAGGTGTGCTGTTCCCATTTGGATTCGTTGGCTAATCCTAATAAACAACTGAAATGTTTGCTGACTGCATAATCACATTCACCAGCAGCTTTTTTTGTTACTGAAGGAGTAAGACTGGGAAAACAGACATTGTTTGCTGCTGATTATTTGATACATCTTGGACAGTCTATATTACTTCTGATACGGTGATCAAGATACAAGTTTTATTGGAGAGAGCAGACAGACTGACTGTACATTTACTCAGAAATGGAACAATATCCCTTGATGTTGTTTAACTACATTTGTTTTGCACAGGACTTCCTCTTGGTGGAAAGCAGTTTATCATAATACCTTATCTATGTGATCACAGAGAGCCTTTCATGTGCAAGGAGACATTCCTCTTGTAAAACTGAGCCAAGTCAGAATTATAGTAGATGGATATTTACCCTTCCGTTAATTTTGGTTTTGTGCACGTTGGTTATTTTCAGTTGACTGGAGTGCTCTCATGTTTACATTAGTAAATATCAGTCGGTGTTTTATGTTTTAAAAAAATACATGTAAAACCTGTAAGTCTTGGCTTGAGAGTTGCCAGTCTGGAATTGAGTTACCTGTCCACTAGCAAAAGAATCTTTTGGTGACAGGGAGAACTTAACAGAAAAAGCAAGCAACTGTTAGTTCTGGCTTCTGCATGTGTGTGCTTTGTAATGGTTATATGGAAAAATGGGCATTCTGAGGAAGTGCTCTTTGGAACAGGTGTTGTCTTCCTGTTTGCGATAAATCACTTTGTGCTGTTTAGGAGTTACTGAGTGCAGGGACCATTCTTGACCTGTCAGTGTAGTTGTGAAGTAAGGGATGATGCTGCTTGTTTTGTGGCTTGTCTTAGTGGTTTATTTTATTTTAATATTATATTTCTTCCTTTAATCTGCCTGTGGACTTTGTCAGTGTAAGCGCGTAGCTAGACCACAACTGCCAACAAACTTTGGAGCTTGCTGTTTTTCAAAATACTGATGTCCCTTGGCTTAGATTTAACAGGAGTGGAGGAGAAGGGATGCAATATCCAATTTATTACTTAAGATACAAGATAATGAAAGATAAGGGGCAGCCTGAAAGATGAACTGTAGTGTAAGGCTGAGTAGTTGTGAGGGAAACTGGTGGGAGATGGTGGTGGCTGACAGTAAAACACAGTAGAGTACAAGTGCAGGCAAAGTTACAGTAAGTGTCCTACTGAAATGAGAGTCCATGGATGCAAATGCTGGAACCAGGGTACTAATTAGCATTTAAAATAGAGATGTAAGTAGTAGTGCTTTGCATTTAGAAATGTTTCATCTTCCACAGATACTGAGTGTTTAAAGAAGACGGAATGGTTGAGTGACTTTTTCCCCCCACTTATTATCACATCATTGTTATGTAATCTATTTAAAAGAATTAATAACCGTTTTGAAAATCAAATCACACTTTCTACATCTACAGAAGTTAACCAAAAATAAAACACTCAAATTTTGTCTGCAGGCTGTGATGCTCTTAGGTGTGATAGAGGAGACAAGATTTGATTAGCAGATGCCTGTCCTTCTTGTTTCCTAACTAGTGTCAGGAAGAGAGTCTTTTTCTTGCTTTGGGTCAAATAAAACAGACAGATGTGGTGGTTTGTTTTTTTGGTTTGTTTTTGTTGGTTTTAGGTTTTGGGGGGGGGGTTGCTTGTTTGTTTGTTTGGGTTTTTGTTTTGTTTTGGTTTTGTTTGTTTTGTTGTTTGTTTGGGTGTTTTGTTTTTTTTGTTGTTGTTGAATTGTCATGGAAAAGGTACAGACATGATAAGCTTATGGCACTGTGTGCTCTCTACTGCTAAATACACAAACAAGTCAGACTATTCAGTTCTTCTGTACAAGAAGCAGTTTACACGAAGTTAACTAACAATAACTTGCCCTAATGCTCAGTGAATCATGTGAGGATAACAATTACTTGTATTTCTTCTGAAGACAAAGTGGATTAACACAATACCTGTACAAGAAACTGGGGAAACAAGAGTCTTGAGAGTGTCCTTTATTTCACTTACACAAACAAACTATTAAATAGCTGAGGACTTTTGGTTTTGTCCTACTTCTTTTGGTATCATGTAATCATATTGTGTATATAAAAAGAATTTTAAAATTAGACTTTTTCCTTCAGGAGCACAAATAGTTCAATATAATTTCCTAGGGATTTCTTTAGATTTCTGTTTTGTCAAGTGCCTTGAAATATGCATCTAACAAAGAGATATGGTTGTCTTAATTTCATTCATCTTTGAAAAAAATAGTCAGATGATGTCTGTTGTGTCTTAAAACATCGTTATCTTTTTAACTACTTTTTTAGTTTTGTTTTCGAGAACAAACTAATATTGGTAGATTGTTCTGTACCCCAGGTATGTCTGTGTGTAATGCTTGTTGTTGGTTTGTATTGAACATACACACCTTATGCTTTAATAACCAGTGTGGCACGATGACCAGAAGAATTGGTCATTTTTGTACACTTGTGTTTGTATTCAAAATAGTGCAGGCTTGCAGTGACTTTGCAGCCAAGTTGTAGGCAGTAATTCTGAACACCACGTAACTGAGTGGTAGAAACCAGCTATGGGGGCAGTTATTAAATTATATCTGAAAGACATTTGTGAAGAGTTGGAAAAATGCATTGGAGTGGCTTACTAGAATTTTCTATACAAATTAGTATTACTGATTAGTTTGGTTGATCTT